CTCAGTTTCTCCCACCTTTCTTCTCGCCCCCCAGTCCCTCTTTTCCCCTCCACACTACTGTAAACACTACTGTAAACAATGGATGGACCTTCAAAATCACAAAAATCAGGCAAAAATATACTATTTTTCTCTATTTCTTTAACAAAAGAATCTTTTAGATTTCTTATTTCTTTTTCTGTTTAATCAAAATCCAACTGATTAGGATTTCAGCGAGTTTCGTTCCTCCTACGACGCTGCTCCGGTATCCTAGCTGTGGTAGTAGCGTCACTGATTCCGATGACTCTTTAGGTTGACGAACGGATCTGTTTTTGTTATTGTTGTGTTTCGCTTTTTGGATCTTTATTCGGATTTTAGAGAGGAGATTCAAAAGGCTTGTTTGTTGAGAATTTTCCAAATTCCATTGCTGGTGCTGGGTATTGAAATTTAGACTTGAAAATACGATAAATATTTGTGTTTGAGGATCAAAACTAGAGAGATAAGTTGAAACGCCATTAAAGCTCGTTTGAAGCTTTTTAGTATATTCAGGTTTAGAATTATTTTTTGTGAAATCGGATAGGTGTGATTCCTAATAAACGAAGGAAGAAAGAACCTATTGCATCTCTTTTCTATGGGTTCGGTATTTGTGTAGTGGCCAGACCTATTTTTCAATAGTTTATTTTTCTTAGTGGCACTAGTAATGACGTGGCGTCCTACGTGTAAGAGATTATATTACAGACACCGGTAATCTCCTGTTATTAAACGTTTATTATACACGATTTGTACGAGTGTAAGTGTTCAACTGACAAAATGATAAGTTTGAATACCGGCATGACAAAGTGGCACAAGTTAATTGTCATTTAGGCTATTCTGCCAATTATTTTTGGTTGATGGGACAAAAATAAAAAAGCCTTACCATATGTTGGCCCAAAATAGTCCAAAGATAATGTGATAGGGAAATTACCAGTTATGTTAGCCAATAAGCAAGTTAGTACAAAATTAGCCGATATATAAAACACTATCAGTATTAGCCAATTAGCTATTTGTAGCAAAAAAATTACTCAAATTTTTTCTTTTTTTTTTTCAGGGAAATTACCAGTTATGTTAGCCAATAAGCAAGTTAGTACAAAATTAGCCGATTTATAAAACACTATCAGTATTAGCCAATTAGCTATTTGTAGCAAAAAAATTACTCAAATTTTTTCTTTTTTTTCAGTGGGTATTGTTGGAATAGATTGGATATATCTTAAGAAGTTTAATCTCAGTTTTGGGATGATTGGTAGAGTTTTGAGGTGGTTTGAATTGAAAATTTGAAGTAGAAGATGAATATGGAAAAAAAGATGATATGTGTATCCCACTGTACATCATTGTATATCACATATGTATCAAATGTGTATCACATGTATATCCATGTATATATGTGTGTGAGAGATACATGCGTGATACATTTTTGATACATGTATTGCAGATGAATTTTTGAACTCAATTTTAACCATGAATTTGTATACCAAATCAGTCCAAGTCACCGCCAATCTTCCTCATCTTTTGTATATTGACGCATCTATATGTTTTCAATGAAATTCAATTATACCCATTGAAAAAGGTCCCTTTATGCTTATATTTTTAACGGAAAAGGGTGATATATGCCAGTGAACTATGCAAGTTAGGAAGATATGCCTGTCGTTAATAGTTTGGCACAGATATGTCCAATCCGTCCAATACTTGTTCATTCGTGCCTTTAGTTTAACGGAACCACTATTTTGTCTTTCTTAAATAATTAATAATCGAACCTAACCAAAATATGTTGACCCAATCCTTTAGGACTTTACCCACCTTTATTTCAAAGATATTTTTATATATATTATTTTTGTTCGATTGAGAAATTGTGTGATAGTCATATTTATTTATTTGAGTAATTTGATAATCAATTTTTTAATCCTACTAAAAGTAGTAATTGATATTTATTTATTATTTTAATAATATAATCAAATTAGTTTGTGCTTTCTTCAATCATATCACCATCTATATTTATTTTTCTCATAGGTGCTTGTTATGAAATAATTAATTAATAAAAATGGAAAAGAAGCACCCTTGTTTTAACAGTGGTGCTTGTTATGAAACAATATTTGTTATAAAATAATTAATTAATAATAATAAAAAAAAAAGAAGTACCACTATTTTAACAATTTATTACTTATTTCAAAACAAATTTGTAATGCAGAAAATATTCCAATAAACTAAAAATAAATCATATAATGTTCACTTATTTAAACAAAACAACCAGGTCCATCAGGTTAAGTTATAATAAACATGGAGTTATTTGTATTTGTATTGGTGAAAAATACAAATAGATTGTGAGAAAAATAAAAATAGATGGTAAAATGATTGAAGAAAGCACAAACTAGTTCGAATATTATATTATTAAAATAATAAATAAATATCAATTACTATTTTAGTAGAATTACTTCCCGAAATGATATATAACAAAAAAAAATCAATTATCAAATTACTCAAATAAATAAATATGATTATCACACAATTTCTCAATCAAACAAAAATCATATATCAAAAAATATCTTTGAAATAAGGGTGGGTGGGGTCCTAACTGATAAGGTCAGAAGATTTTGGTTGGGTTCCGTTATTAATTATTTAAGAAAGACAAAATAGTGGTTCCGTTAAACTAAGGGCATGAATGAGCAAGTATTGGACGGATTGGGCATATTTGTGCCAAACTATTAACAACATGCATATCTGTTCTAATTCGCATAGTTCACTGGCATATATGGTCTGTTCCCGTATTTTTAAAATCTTGTGTATATATATTTCATCACTTTTTTTGCTATCTCATCCATGAAATTTCCTTTCCGTCTTGCATCTAATATTACTGATCAAGTTTACAAATATGGAAGGAAACTTTTGTATTTGATTCTTGAAGAGAAAGAATCCTTGTTTATTTGGATTTTTAATTTTTATATTTGGCTAGTTTTGGTAAGTCTATGATTAATGGTTAGAGGTTGGTAACTTAGCACTTGTAAGATTCTCAATGTGATATTGTCCAATTTGAGCCAAGCCCGTACTACTTCCCCCAAAAGGCCTCACATCGTTAAAAATATCCAAACTCTTTAGTTTTTTTGTCTTCTTTTCTACTTTTCATATGGGATTTTGTACATACGCGATAATTTCCCCGTTGAACTAAGTTTTACATGACCTATCATCATTTATGGGCTAATTTGAAGATTAATTGCATGCCATATATAATGTTGTTAGGTTTAAACAACCCAAAAATACTTTTAACATAGTAGTATGATATTGTCCGATTTAGGCCAAGTTAACCCGCATACTTTTTTCAAAAGTCCTCACACAATTAAGAGCATGCAACTCCTTATTAGTAGCTTCATTTTCTTTCTACTTTTCATGTAGAACTTTATTTACCTCCACCCAGCACTATAGCCATAAAAATCTTACTTCTGCCGTTTAACTAGACACGAAACTTTATAAAAAGAATAGTAGAAATCTTTTGTCTCAGAAATATCTTATTAGGTAAGTAGAATGGTTAAGTGAATTTAAATTATTAATACAAAAAATTAATAAAATAGTGTCAAAAGTTCAAAACCTTCTCCAAAAAAAGAAATAAATAAACAAAAGATATAATTACTGTGATAAAATTTATTTGCACCCAATATTTACCTTACCGTACTAACAACATTGTTAAGCGAGCATTGTGATTTGTGTGTCAATTTGAGTTGGGAACATGCAATAGTGGCAGTATGGCACAAATAACGTGCAATAATCCAAACAAGAGGGATTTGTCATTTTTATATCTGCCAAACAAAAACAAGACTATATTGTTGTAGAAGAAGAAAACGAAGGATTAGCCTTGAGGTTCAGACCCTTCATGTGCAATGGGTACTAAAGAAAGATTCCTCAAGTCTAGGCACTATTAATATATTTTTGTGCTTTAACACGAAGAATTTAAGCTATATACATCATTAATGAAAAGAATTTTTTATATTATCAACTCATTCAAAGAATATAAATAAGTAAGCTTCCTTGAAATGTGAGATTTGTAATCTTTAAAATACAATATATAACCTATTATAACATGTAAAGCTGGCATGATAGTCTAAAATTTTCTTATACTGAATGTGTAACGATCCAATAGATCGTTTTGAGTACTAGCTTTAATTTTAAAGTTTCGAGGCCTCCCATGGATTCCTTTAATGTTTATTAATTGGCGTGCGTGGTTGGTACCGTTTTTCAAAAATACGTTAAATTTTAGAGAAAATGAGATTTTTGACTTTAAAAATAACAAGAGTTGACCTCCCTTCAATATTTTTACTAAACGACCTCGGATCAGTATTTTGATGATTCTGGTATTTCGTATGACTTTTTTAGACTTATACGTATGTTTGGTTGGGGTCCCGGGTGATCCGAGTCCATTTCAACACATTATGTGAAAATTGAAAATTTTGGTTTTAAACTTGAAAATCTTGAGTTTTGTTGATCAATTCTTGTCGATTGATGTTATTTTGGTGATTTGAATGAGGGAGCAAGCACTACAAGAAAAATGACTTCTAGGGATGAGAATGATGGTCCCTAAAAGCTTATTTCTGGTCCTAAAATATCTATATCAACCAGTTAAAACTGGTCGTCACCGGTCGCTAGATCCTCCGCCGTTAAAGGTTATTAACGATGGGTTTGTCATTTGGTCCCTAAATGTATTTAGCGACCAGATTAATACTAGTCCTTGAAAGGTATTAACGACTAGTTGAAATGTGATCCTTAAATACTTTTAGGGACCAAAAATATGGTCTTTATTGCAAATCAATGTCATATAATATTTAGCGCCTTCAAACATTTAGTGACAAGTTTACCGGTCGTAAAACGCTTTTAAGGACAAGAAAATCTGGTCCTTAATCTTATTTAGGACCAAGCATGGGTGGTCCAAAATTCTAATTTTTCATAAATTTTCAAATCAGATATATTGATTCTACAAATAGAAAATTTAATCACAAAAAATAATATAATGAAAAAAAGATATGGTTTCATATATAATAATTACTGACAAAAAATTAGTAGCATTGTACAATCATGGTGAAATATTTTTTGGACACTCCTTTAGCAAAAGTACCTCTAGCTAACATCCCTAAAATTAATATGATATTTTGTCCAATATTCCTAGCAAAGCAAAGGTCTACTGATTATATGTCTTCAAAACCCGCATCTTGATAACCTGTAAAAAATATTCAACAAAAATTCCTTTAATAAGAAATTATAAAGATCACTAGAAAATTATATTGAATATTTTTTTTTCAATTTTACTCTATTAATAATTTGACCTTTTACCTGAAAAGGTGTCCAAATTCATCAAGTGTAATATATATACACTTCAAAAATAAAATAGCAATGTAAACGAGGCTGCATAAATATAAACAAAAATGAATTAGAAAAACTGTGTTATATAACCGTCGTATCATTTATGAAAACCTAGAAGGATAATCCTCAACCAAGAACTACAAATTTTGTTTCAAGTTGAACATCTAGACAATAGTTTATATGTACTTAATGAAAATCTAAACAATAGTGTATATGTACACAAGGCACATCTGAAACATCAAGCAGTAAAGCTATAAGGAAATATTTTATTTTTACTAAAGTTTGATAGCTTTTATGCATTTAGCTTGGTAGGTATTCATCCAGAAATGATGCACTTGCGGGTAACATATCAAAAGCTCTTATCACAGCAATTGTGAAAGTTTCTTCGATCGCTAAACATGAAAAAATAGAACCATTGCAATGGGGAGGAAGCTATAGCATATCTTTATTTTCTTGAAGTATCAGCAGATGAAATCACTAATTGCAGCAATTTTCATATACTACATAGTAAATACACGAGAAAACTCTTTAGTACAGAGCTCGCCATTAATAATAGACTAAGCCCTAATTCCAAACAAGTTGAGGTCGATTATATCAATCCTCAATAAATTGTTGCCACTCAGACATTCATGAAAAAGCTCACAGCAAAAACAAAATCAATACAACACCATATAAGTAACAAGTAACACCATACATACCAACCCACTTTTCAGTGCAACACCATACAAATAAGTTGATGAACTCCAGTGACTCCACAAACATGTTTTACATGTAAATAGTCCATGAACTCTATTGACTTCACAAAGGCTTTTATTTGCATATGGTAATCATAGGTGAGTCCTTATAATAAATATTAATCGCTAACTTAATAAAAATAATAGTTACTAATAAGTTAAATCTACATTAATAATATAAAAAATCTTTATATTCTTATATATACCGTCAGACACTTCCCTATAACAACATCTCTATATAATAGTCATTCACTATGAAAACAAGTTTTTCTCAGAAATGCTTATTGTATTATGTTATAATATATATATATATNCAAACGAAATTATTATAGAGAGGTTTGATTGTAAAAGTTAAATCCAAAATAAGAAAAAGAGATTATAATTAATCCTAGCTAGCAGTACTAGTATAGTAGCAGATATAGAAAATTACCAAGCCATCAATATGACAGGTAGAATCCTCATTAAAAGTGGCTTTGGACTTAAAGCTGCGAGAAGACTCGTCAAGGGAATGATAATTAGGCCATGTCATAACAGTGTCCCCAGCACTAGGTTCAGCATTCTCATCAAAAATATTCTTATGAAATTCTCCTACTAATCTTCTACTAGTCCCGTATAATTGGGGGTCAGAATCTGATCTCATCCTCTTTTTTGCCACTCCACCTATCGTTTCTTGCTTCACAATATTCTCAGTAGTGATGTTTGCCTTATTTTTATCACTTCCCTATAGTAAAACAAGCATTCTTAACTATATGAATTGGACTCATCTTCTGTGAAGCAGATTGTCTCTATCTATATTATTTGCATAAGGTGGAATTGACCTATTTCATTCCACGTCAATTAGGTGGAACTCTTTGGTAACACACGCTGGGTGAGCATGGGAGAAATTGAAATTAAGAAAAATCAATTGATGCACGATTTAAGAAGTATCATGGATGGGGTTTGAGCTGCATTTTGTTGTCAATGGTATTCCTTGTTGATTCAGCTTATTGATCAACAAGTTAAATAGAATACTACTGGGAGATTTTTCAGCTTTAAAAAACTCTCCTTTAGCTGTTATAGTAGCATGAAACTTACTAACACATTAAGCAATTTATACCTTTTCAATCCAAAAAAAAAAATCAATATAGCACTTACAGTGAAAATCTAAAAGACAAGAGGGATTTTACTAGTTGCAGCAATATAACATTTCCTCTAGGACAGTTACAACAAGATAGAACACATCAATCCACTTAAAAGAGAAGCACGATGCTAGACATCAGGTATTGCATATAAATACTTACTAACTAAATGATATTTGAAATGAGTAAGTTGTTACTAACTTGGTATGTTTATCAATGGTCATTCTCCTGATATGGTGATGTCGAAGGCTGGACATTAGCGTGTTGAGCCACCGGAGGGTGGACATTAGACTGTTGGCTCAAGAAAAATTCTTTTAGTTCCTTCAGTTCTTTCACCTCATTTTCTACAGTAGACAACCGATCCTTCAATGACTCATTTTGATCTAGAGAAGAACGTAACTCGGATCTTAATTCGGCCTTCGAGGAACCGCCATCTTTTAAGTCTTTTGCTTTTACTCCACCCCCAAAACCAAATACATGACTACGGGTTTGAGGTCCAAAGTATTTTTCCACTATCTCTATATTGGGAAGAGATGGTTCGGACTGCACCAATTCTTGAATTTGAGCCTTCAAAATATATAAAGAAAAACTCCCATTAGAACCAATAACTAGAAGTTTTTACATGTTTAATTGATGAAACCCACATGTTTTATAATTGTCTCAGATTCAACAAGTTCGTTGTTCTTCTTGCGAGTCTAAAAAAAAATAGTTGCCAAATCTGGTGGATTGCCATCTTTTTCGCCCTTCACATTAAAGTAAAAATGTCAAATAATGCCTTCTCAATATTTGAAAACAAAAATAGCAGATATTATAATACTTTTTGATAAATAATTTCTCTAATAGGCTTGCTGCCGATATGATGAGGCATCTTCAACTTAGCTCTGTTTGCTGCATTCCTGTTGCTTTTTGCCTGAAAACTTTCTGTACAAAAATATTCTTTTACCAACCACTCCCATTGTTTCTTGTCTACCCCCTTTGGTATATTCTTAAGAGCCTCTTGGATTGGTTTACCCCTCACGTACTTTGCATGCAATTGTCCTCTTCATTTGTTCCACAATTCTTTCATCCATCCCAAAATATGATTGCGATGAATATCTAGGTCATCGCTCTCAAATTTATCCTACAATAAATTAAACATATCATAAGAACTTTAGCAAAGAAATGATAAAACATAGAAAAGAAAATCATAAAACTACTTTAGCATAAAAAATTGTAAGGTTCTGGAAATGTATTTTGAGTTGTAACAAATAGCTTATAAGCAAATTGGACATATTTGTTACCTCAATAGCTGCCCACATGTGATTTAGCTTTTCCTCTTTAATATCAAAAAATGATGGAGGTAATATTCTTTCTAACTTGCAAAGAGTTAGAGGAATTTGGGCTTCAATTTGCTCCAAGTCTTCCCTCCTTAACTCCTTTGATCCAAGGACATTAAAAAATAAAGATAACTCCTAGACTAGTTTACTAAAAGTTAGAGAAGTGGAGAAAAATTAGCTAAATATTACATTAAACAAGTTTTTTAAACTTACTAACACATTAAGCAATTTGTACCTCTTCAATCCAATAAAGACCAAAAATTTAACATAGCACTTACAGTGAAAAGCTAAAAAAAAGAATGTAAGCCAGCAACTGCAAATTACATTAAGATGATCTTACTAGTTGTTGTAGTCTAATTATTAGATGTTCGCCTATTGAGAGAAGTCTTACAGGTTGTAATAGTGATATTTACTAGTTGAGACTAGTTGCAGCAGTCTCACTATTAGTTGCAGCTAAAACACAACTTTTAAGCCAAGTAACGCACTAGTTGCAAGAGTACCAACAATGTCATTTGCAACAGCAATAAAAAATTTCATCTAGGATAGCTTTACAACAAGATAGAACACATCATTCCGCTTAAAAGAGAAGCACAACACTAGGCATCAGGTATTGTATTCGAATATTTACTGCTAAAGGGAAAAAATTCGCTAAAATCTAATACTAAATTCCTACTAAAAAGGGACTGAAACATAGAAATACACTCACAAACAATTTAAACAAAATGAAGTAAAGATCAGAATTTTTATGGAACATAAACAATTGCAGACAAATCCTTACTCCAACTTGAATAAAACCAAAAATTATTCTAAGCGTAAGTTTCAAATATAAGAACAGAGATTATAGCAGTGGAAGAACAAATTTGAAGGAAAAAAAAAAACAAACAAAGCATAGGCTTTTACAAACAATTCACAAAGGGACACCCAAGCAAATATAATCTAGAAAAGAAATTGATTGTAAAAATATTTGCTGACTAGCAATCAATTTCTACCAACAAAAAAAATTAAAAAATAAAGATTTCACAAACCTGCAAAAATGGGTTATTGAGAAACAATAACAAAAGGTTAGCCCAGAAGATGTATAGAAAAAGAAAGTGTGCTTACTTGTGGTAAGATGGGTAGCAATTTTTCAACTTGATATTTTTTCCAAACCTGCAAAATATGAGATTAGCAAACCTATCGTAAGACAAATAAAAGAAAAATATTCCTTAACATACCAAGAAAAATATTTCTTAACATACCAAAAAAATGCCTTTGAGAGAAGTATGAAAATTTAAGGGATTTAGGGTTTTTACTTCTATGAGTAGTGAGGGAGATGAGACTTGAAGGTAGATTTAGGTTTGATAAAAGTTAAGAGTTTTTAGGTTAATTTTATTATGTTTTATTCCAATTTGGGTATGGCGCCACTTTCTCCCGGTTAATTTTTATAATTAAGGACCGTACATTATAAATTTTTTTATTGCTATTTAATATTTTAATTAAAAAATTAGAGATTTAAGGACCAGTAGTATTCTCGTCCTTACTAGTGTACTTCTAGGGACCAGATTCATACCTCGTCGCTAAATATTGGTCCCTAAAAAATCTTTTTCTTGTAGTGAAGTTTGTATAATATTATTATACTTGTGTGCATATTTGATTTGGAGCCCGAGGGGCTCAAGTGAGTTTCAGATGTGTTACTGAAGAGTTTAGATGATTTTTGAACTGTGGTGGCGTTGCTGGTGCAAGCCGACAGATATCGCAATTGAGATATCAGGCTCGCATTTGTGAGCCTCGCTATTGTGGTCATTGGATCTCATTTGCGAGGGCTGGACTGCACATTTGCAAGGAGAAGTTCGCTTTTGTGAAGGAGAGGGATGTCTCTTTTGCGAATAATTTGGTCGCATTTGCTACCACTGGGACCTTTTTGGCAGCTTCGCAAATGTGAAACAATTATCCGTATTTACGAAGGTGGGCATTTTTCATTTGCGATAAAAATATCGCATTTGCGAGTTCTCTAGGCCTGATGCATCGATCGCATTTGCGATCAGAATATTGTATTTGCAGGGCATTGCATTTGCAAAAAAGAGTCCGCAATTGCGATACCATCAACTGGATAAAAGAGGAAAAAATCGGGAATTAGCTCATTTTACGCCATTTCTCAATCCTAAACATTCTAAAGGCGATTTTTGAAGAACTTTGTCTTCCCAAATTTATTAGTAAGCATCTTTAACTATTTTTCAATCAATTTTATTACTTTTAATGAGTTTTTAACATCAAATTTAAGAATTTCATGGTAGAAATTAGGGTATTGGATAGAACTTGGAAATTTTGTAAAATGGAGATTTAAACCTCAAATTGAGGTCGGATTTCAAAATAAATCACATAATCGGGCTCTGGGGGTGAATGAATAATCGAGTTTTGGCCCGAATTTTGGGATTTGACCAAGCGGGCCCAGGGTTGGCTTTTGGAATTTCGGCCAAGATTGAACCTTTATTGATTGGGGATGTTTTCTTTAGCATTATTTGACTTCGTTGGATGATATTTGTGTCACGCCCCGAACCTAGGGAGGCGTAGCCGGCACCCGGTGTCGTACTGGACCGAGCGAACCATTCTGTAACTCATTCTTTTTGTGACTATCGTGGGCCAACATGGCAACAACTCGTAGTGCATAACTGTAAGTGGGCAACACTGTATCAATAAACTATTGTTCTTAAGACATGAATATGGGCTGTCAAGGCCTCTGACATACTATACAAACTGAACCTCTGTCTACAAAGCTTCTAAGATTATTTGACATCAAATGGGACAGGGTACCGACCTACCCATAAGTCTGAAGTAAAACTCTAACGCGATGGCTCGTAGATTCGACTGCACTCCGAATGAGGTGGAGTCTTACCGATCCTTCGCTGAATGCTAACCTCGTCTGCAATGAGGGTTCATCAAATTGATTACTTATACCTGCAGGCATGAATGTAGTGTCCACAACAAAAGGACGTCAATATGAACAACGTACCGAGTATGTAAGGCATGTAAATCGATATATAAAGGATATGAAAGAAACATGGAGTACATGACTCAACCTGTAAGTCTGGATAACTCTGTATATCATTTAATNCACACTGACCCATGACCAGATGACATAAATGCATGAAATGCATATGAAATACATTAATAAAATCTTCTCGGAATGCCATAAAAATCAATATACCTTTCGGATAAACTTTATCAAATACATATTTTTCATAGACCCATGAACAAAAGATATAATAATAATTCACACGGAGAATCAGGTAGACACCCCTAGTATTTCTATGAATAGAGGCATTTATGGAAATTGTGCGTTTTCTCGTTTTGTTCATGTCGTATAGATCATGCTAAAAAGAAAGAAAGGATAATCTTAACATATCTGCGTTGATTCTCTTGACAATCCCTCTAACAAGGTACTCCCTTAGAATTTGCAAGTCACGTTGCTATTACATAATTCAAGATTGTGTTGACATTTTGAATCATTTCAGTAATAATCTTCTTCCGTAATTCTTGCTTCTTCTCTATCCATTAGTACTTGCACCAAGTCTTTTTTCTTTTTGGTTCATGAAAGTATCTGCTCTATGAAAGTAGTCAAATTTTGGCTTCAAAATTACATTGCTTCTTCTCATTCAGTTTTGAATTGGATGATCACGTTTTGTTCCTGGTCTAACTACTAGAATGTATGTTTCCAAACTTCAGGTTCTCCTTCTAGGAATAATTCTCTAAAGTATAGCTAGTAGGATAGTGACAAAAATACATGTTGTGAAGTAAAAGAAAAGATAACAAGCGTGTTTCAATTCTAGGCTTCTTTAGATTTTTGCTCTAGGTGTCAATTAGTGTAGAGCAGTGACTGTAATATTGTGTCCTCGTGCACCTACTAAATCGTGATTATTCATTCTAGCTTCTTACATGTGGATTAATGTCCACGTAATTAAAAATTATCTCAAATTACTTAAAATATTACTTACTTTTTAAGACACTTTATATATACCATACTATCGTGGTCATGTGGTACCATATAAAATCAATACATACACTATTATTTTACTAAAACATCCATGTAACAATACATATATTTTCTTAACTTATAATTTTCCTAGTCTCTTATAAAGAGTAAAAATTCTCGTACGTTTAATTCTTATAATGGTAGAAAGATAACCTTCTTTTCTTGTGAGAAAATAATTTCTATATTTACAATAAAGAAAATCTCATAAATTTCTCATATTATATTTATTATTTACCATATTCGAAAATAGTAAGAATGGTAACTATCCAAAATTATACTTATAAAACTTTTACTATAATACTCCACTTAAAAGGAAATACCACATTAACATAATCTCTAACAGTTTCAAGGTTGTAAACTTACAGGGTCTCATAATAATAATGTCTCAAACCTTCTATAACCTCCTAATAGACATAATCCCTTCGAACTTATTTGGATTTACTACCTGTTAAAAATGACGTAGTACTTTACTTAATTTTCAAACTTTGCACATAGATAAACTAATAAATGATCCTTCAGCTTCAAGGATTTTTATTCTTCGATTTCCTTGCGTGGGGTATGAGAAATTCTACAATATTTTATCACGTGCAAACATGAAAAGAGTTTGTAGTTTATTCCATGTTGATACTACCAAATTCCCTTGACTGAATCATGATGTGAAACTAGATTTGAGAACAAATTAATAGGAGGTCGCCTATTAAAACTGCGATATTGTTTTTTCAAATTTTATTTCCGACTCACTCTTCATTCTAAGGGATCTCTTACTCAATTCTCACCTTCTTGGTATAATGTAGAAAATAAATTCTCATCCTTGCCTCCCGAGATAAATTAGTAGCTAAAAGCGGAATAATCTACTTACTCCCTTCAAGCTCATATGGATTACTATGACTTATCCTAATATTAAAGTACGTGACGTAACAATTTGACTAGGTTTTGATCATTTTGAAGATTATTTTTATGGAAGACGGTATTGGATTATGAAAATTATTTCGAAATGCGGCATATGTCTTGTCTAGCTTTGTTGGAGGAATTTTTTCTACTAATTGATATTGTTTGCTACATGTAGGGGTGATGCATATACGAGGTGACAAACGTATATGCATGTGCTAGGGTTTCCATGCTCAGGAGGGGAAAATTATATGCTTCTTAGTGCTTTTGCTGAACTTGATGATCCCTTAATGTATGCTTAATTTAATTTCATGACTAGTAAACTCAATTATCTGTGTTAGAAATCATATTAGAACTTACGACACCTTACAAAGTATTTAATATGTTGTTTTCGAAATTCGTTAGCATACTTAACTTGATCGTAGTATCAGGAATCTATACCTATACCTATTATTATCATGTTACACGAGCTTCTATATTCGTATTAAGAGATGGTGATTGGGGCGTTTGGGCTATATTTGGCACGATGGGTATTTCTGTGCGGTTAGTATGATGTTGGCACGATGAGTGTTGCCGTGCGGTTTGAAATGAGAATGGTTTGTGGTTATTACCATGCGAAAAGGAAGAAAGTTGAATTTCTGTTATGATCACTCATATGTTAAGTTCTTACATACCCTTTCTTTGGTTTCTATTAGTGTTTGATATTTTGTATAATACCTTCCGCTTGAGTTCCCTTAGTAGTTACCACTATATTTTTCCTTTTGGTCAGTTACTATTATAGCTATGCCTTTACCTTGTCTTATTGTTACACCTGTGCTTTATATTGTTACACATGTTCTTTCACTTTATTTACTTATATTACACATCCTCTTCGAATTCATGTCTTTACTTGTTATTAGCCCATACCAGTTACATGCTTCTAATCACGTGATTTACTTGTTAACTACCTTAACCTGCTACATGTCTTCACTCACTACGTGCTTTCACTTACTATATGTCTTCATCTCTATATGCTTTTACCTACCATAGGCCTTCACTGATTAAATGTCTTTACTTGCTACATGCTTCTACTTGCTGCATGATTTCAAATATTGAATGCCTTCATTTGATCCCTGTCCTTACTTGATAACATCTTTACTCGTTTCATGTTCTACTCTTCTTGTTTAGCTGGATTGGGTGACTTTTAGATTGGTTGTGTGTTATGTGTTGTGGAAGCCTTGTCATTATATACGGTAGGCTAGCTTTGATATTGGACCGCTCATTCTTCTCCGTTTGAGTTGTATTACCTAGTTGAATATCGCGTGTTCGATTTCTTAATGTTACATTTCGATCTTATCCTGTGTTTGGTTGTTGTTATGGTTTCATATGATAATATTTGATATTGGGATCGAGTTGCACGTCGCAATAGTATTATAATGTATATTGGGTTCGGTTTGCACGCCGCAATATTATTATTATTATGTGTATTG